CCTTGCCGCTTCTCTCCTGGGCGTGTTGTTGTCCTTAGGTGACTGGGGGCCGCCTTACATCTCCTCACCCGGCCGGTTTTTCCCTGGCTGTCGTGGCCAGTTGCCACCGTGGGGCTTGCGCGTGTGTATTTCTCCGCTCTGCTGGTCTCCAGGGTCTAAGGTTATGCGTGTTCGAGTCCAGGAGGCGGTGTCTGGAGAGGATGGTGGGGTGAGTGGGTCTGGAAGCCTTCTTAACTTGTCCCCTAATGTGCTGCAGTGGTTCAAGGTGTAATTTGTTGTGATGGAGATTGCGTGAGACCAGCCCACCCTCTGTGCATCTGTGCACGGCAGATCTAAAGGGCTGGCTCAAAGGGAAACTTCGGTTCCCTTATTTACCCTCTCAAAGCTGTCGTTAGAAAGGACAACAAAAGATGTGCACCGAAACTCGGGTAACGCTCACACTGTGGGGAAGAGGCCCTTTTTGTACCTAGCAACCTAGACCCGGCTCAGTCGCTCAGCCGCCCGGAGCGCTGGTCGAACTAAGCTCCAGTTTGTTGTGGTGACAAACCTGAGAGCAATGGCCCGTGTTTATGGTTGGGCGAGCTTTCGTTCCTGTTTAGGTAGGGTGGGGTAGGGGTGGAGGGTGGGGGGGTTAGGGAAGGGCAAGGGGTGCCAACCTCTAGCTTCCATGTGTTTTTTCTCCACTGAAACCAGACTCACTTATAGACTCATCTTGGATGCTTTCTTGTCATTTTGGGAATTCTCAGTAACCTCATCAAAAACCTCATTTCAACTAGAGACTTTTGTGCCTCACTCCGCTCTTCAGCTTATTTGTTTCCTAGTAACTGATGAAAACAGCATTGTGGCTTCCTGGGCCACAAGTGGGGTTAAAGTAAATGGCTGATGCCCTCTTTCAAACCTTCAATTTTACCCTTGTTTGTGTAGAGCTATTTTTGACTTTTGGTCTGTAGGTTTTTTTTTCTTTACTTCTTTTTCCTTTTAAGATTATAGAGAATGCAAACCATTACCAGCTTTTTCCCCCTTCTTTCCTTTCTCCAGTCTTACAAAACTTTAAGGCTTTCAGTAAAAGCTTTAAAAATCTACTGGCAAGACATTTTACCGGGTAGTTGTTCAGTTGGTGGTTTTCGCTCCTTGCATGTCATTATCTCAGAGGTCTGTGTTACCCAGCTGGTGTGGCAGTGAGATGACCAGTGTCAAAGATTTTAAGATACTGTTTCTGATTTGAAGGGGATTTGGGTAAAGAACTTGTTGAACTGGAGGCAGGGTAGCTAGGCAAACATCCCAGGGAGTAAGATGGTGAATGAGATCTTGTGACTATTGTTGGGCCGGTTGTAGAGAAGGCTTTTTGCTGATGACCACTTTATGAATGTATAGTTTATCTTATCTCTGGAGAGATTGCAACTTTATGGGTCCTAGATAAATTGATTGTTAACAAGCCAGAACTCCCTCCTAAAAGAAGAAGAAGCAGCGGGGCGGGGAAGATAATCTCAAAGTTCACAGTGCTCTGGAAAAAAGAATTCTTTCATTCTGTGGTTTTGTTTTTATAAGCACAGCTCAGCAGTCCGTGGTGTGTTGGTAGAAGCCAGTGAGCCAAATCTGCCTGGCAAATTTCTTACACTTGGAATTTGTGCAGCTTGTTGTCAGTTATACATTGTGATGGGTCCTTTTGTAATTTGAAGATGTTTTGCAAGTCTTTTTTAACTTTTAAAATTGTAGCACTGTAAGTGTAGAGGTAGCAGAACACTTGCCATTTCAATAGTCTTCACATATACAGATGAGTGACATTAAAATATGCTTGTCATGTTGTTCAGCCCTGTCCTTCGTGAACTTCTTGATCTCCCCTTTTGTTTTCATCTTTGTGACAGTATAAAGCAATCTATGTGTTTTTCAGGGTTTAAGGCATTTTAGTAATTTTAATTCTTCAGTTTCTTTCCATGCAATC